CAATAATTAAAATCATGATAAATAGTTATGAAACAAATATTGCTAAATATACTTTGAAATTGGTAGTCAGTTTTATTAACAGTAATACCATGGAGTACTAGTGTACTATTTATAAATACAAAGTCTACCTAAGGCAGTAGTTCTTAACCCAGGTTTAAAAAAAAAAAACCAAGAATTAATCATTGGTTTGGATCAGAGGCAAGGTTATCTGAATAGCTTGAACTACACAGATAATTATACTGGTTTGTGAGATTGAGAAACACTAGTTAAATTTAATAATTTTGAAAATGAATTTCTCCCTATAATCTTATAAGGTAGACTATTTTTATACACATTTCCATATGTGGAATTTATGCATGTATGTTTAAAATAGTTCCTGTACTTTTTTTGTCTTTACTTTTTTCCTAATTAAATCATAGTGAGACCTGACAGACTAATGAATCACAGTTGTCTTTGGGTAGTAGAAATAAAAGAGTTACAATCCATGTATCCAAAATCTTGATGTGGAGATCTACTAAGGTATCACATTAAGGTTGGCACTAAAGCCTGGGCTTTGGAGGTACTTAGGGGCTAAAGTTCTTAACTCTAAATTTGATGGTTTCCCTCACCCCCAAGTTAACACTAGCTGATATTTGACAGTGATTTAACATTATATATTTATATATATTTTAGCATTGTATGTGACATTTTTCAGAAAGAGGAGAATGCATCTTTTGTAAGCTCTCTATGGTTTTTAAACTTTCTTCAAATTTGAAGCTTTGTTAAAATGATATTTAACAATCTTTTTGGATATTTTTTCCTCCAGAAGTTTTACTCATTTACTCTTTTTACAAGTCAAACAGTAGATCAGGTATTTATTCAAGGTATCTGTGTTACATATTGCACTATATTTTTATTAATATATGTTTGCAATACATTATGTACTTGCATTCATTTGGGGGAATAATATTCAGAAAAATAGTGAAGGATGGACTGTCATCAGGTCACTATAAAATAGTTATTTCCTCTCCTTCCTAAAATAAGGAGAAGAATAATATTCATCACCAGATATTTATGGGGTTGATACAAATAAAATCACACAAAACAAAATACAATTTAAAAGTGTTCGTTATCATTTCATTGCTCTCTAATAATTGACAAGTACAGTGTAGACTAAAGTCACATTGCTAGTCTATATCGTTCATTGTGTGTAGTTAATTTAACTACAGTTCTTCAAGTTCAAAGTCCACTCAAGCCCTGAATAATAGGAGAAATGTACTGAAAGGTTTTAAAAAGATAAAAAATTTTTGACTGAGCACTTATGTCCCTGAAGAAGGGAAAGAGGAAAACATAATGTGAAACAGGAGAAAATGTCTAAAGGGAAGGAGGAAGTAGGAGTAGGGGAAAGGTAAGAAGGGAAAGGAAAAAATATAAGAAAAGGAAAAAATGGAAACAAAGTCTTTATAAACAGGGGGAGGTGGA